AACTACACCAGCTGGCAAGTGCTTTTCTTTCTCTTTTTTTTTACCTTCTCTTTAATGACTTACCACCAAAAAAAACAAAAAGCCAGTTGAAATATATTTTTCTCCAAATATATATATTTATATAATATATAATCTTAGTTAACTCAAGTATATACATAGTATAATAAATAATGCTTATAAAAAGAGAAATTTTCTGAATATAAAATAAAACAAACAAAAAAATCGACCTCTACAACTTTATACAAAACTTTGGATACAGCAGATTGATGGAAAAAGATCTTCCATTCAGTGCTAGAACACCTGGCTACAGGAAAATAATTACAAGGCAATAAATGTTCTATTTATTATTAAATACCTTTTCTTGATTAAAACAAACGAACAAACAAACAAATAAAATGGGATTTTGTTTAAAATACTTGGAGGCCTCCCACACACTGAATTCCAGGTATAATTTTAAATAGGATGCATCTCAGGGACGGGTTGTTTCTGAACGGGGAGGGTTTGGAGCTCTCCTGGGACCTTGGTGCTCTGCAGAGGAGGGGCTGAGGAATCTGCCCTGGTTCTCTAGCCACAGGTCTGAGGGCCAGGGCCACATTCTGTGCTCCATGGGAGGGGTTGTCACCCCTGTTTAGTGCTCATTGAAGTGCCATGAGCTGCTCTTGCCATGGGTGGGTGAGGGGAAGAGAGGACGCAACTTCAGTGGTTCAGCCAGATTTCTGTTCTGTCACTGATGCATGAGAAGCTGAGCATGAGCCACCAATGTGTCCTGGTGGCCAACAGGCTGACCATGAGCCAACAATGTGCCCCTGTGGCCAAGAAGGCCAATGTCATCCTGGGAGCACCAAGAAGAGCGTGGCCAGCAGGTCAGGGAGGTTCTCCTGCCCCTCTGCTCTGCCCTGGGGAGGCCCCATCTGGAGAACTGGGCCCAGTTCTGGGCTGCCCAGTTGCAGAAGGACAAGGAGCTGCTGGAGAGAGTCCAGCCCAGGGCACTGAGATGCTGAGGGGGCTGGAGCATCTGCCTGTGAGGAAAGGCTGGGAGAGCTGGGGCTGTTGAGGCTGGAGAGGAGGAGGCTGAGGAGGGATCTGCTCAGTGCTGATCAATATCTGCAGGGGGTGGCAGGAGGATGGGGCCAGACTCTTCCCAGTGGTGCCCAGGGACAGGACAAGGGGCAATGGGCACCAACTGGAGCCCAGGAGGTTTGAGTTAAACATAAGGACAACTTTCCTGTGAGGGTGGCAGAGCCCTGGGACAGGCTGCCCAGGGAGGTGGTGGAGTCTCCATCCCTGGAGACATTCCAAACCCACCTGGATGTGTTCCTGTGTGAGCTACTGTAGACGACCCTGTTCTAGCAGGGGGTTGGACTTGGTGGTCTCCAGAGGTCCCTTCCAACCCCTGACCATCCTGTGATTGTGTGCTATCAGAATGTGGTTCTTGGTCCTCACCACCTGTGGAGGAGCCCACCAGGACAGTTACAGTATTGATTGGTTTTCAGTGGTCAATGTCCCATCAGAACATGGGCCCAAAATGAGGGGCAGGGAGGGGGATGTGTCCTGGGGGGCAGGTGGAGGGACAAGTGCTTCTTCTTCTGCACTGAGATGGGTCATGGGATGCCTGTGGCTACACCCAGGGCCCAAACCCCTGCCAGGGGTGTGGAGTCTCTTTATGGACCAGCTGCTAGCAACTCCAGAAATCCTGTGGGAAGGAAAGGGTCTGCCTGGGATTGTGCTGTGGGATGAAGGTCTCCCTTTCCCATCTGCCCTTGCCTCTCCTTTGCTGGATGAAAGGGTTTGATCAAGCCTGCCTGGTGAGGGAAGGCTGACAAGAAGCCTTGGACAGAAGCTTCTTCTTACCGTGGCTTCTGTCTCCTCATCCCTTGGTGATGCTCAGAGCTGGTGCAGCAGCTCTCCTGGCCCATACCCTGTGCCCAGAGAGATGCTCTGGGCTCGCTCTGCAACATGAAGTCATATTAGTTAATAGCTGCATCAACTGGGTGGATCTGGCCAGATCCTTAAACACCTCTGTTGAGCAGCTGGGTGCAGCCCCAGGTAAGTCCCAGCCTCACCCTGTGGGATCTGCTCTTGCCCTGGGACAAATGCCAGAGGATCAGCATCTCTGCTCTGGTTTCCTGCTGTCCTCCTCAGGGGGTTTAGGGGATGAGTTGGGGCTGTGGGAGCAGAGGGCAAAGGGGCTGTAGGGCCTGGGTTTGTTTTCCAACATCATGTCCAGGAGGAGCAGGAAAGGGGCCTGGCTGGTGCAGGGGGTTGGCTCCTTTCCTCCCCACCACATCTGCTGAGCCCAGGATGGCTGAGCCAGAAGGCAGAGGAACCTGCTCAGCTTTCACTGTCTGAAGTTCATTTCCCCCTGAATCCCTGGGTTGGGTCTACATGGGCCAGACCTCAGGAGGAGGATGGAGCTGTGAGCAGCACCCTGACTGCTGTGACCTTGCTTGTACCTGCTCTGTCCCTGCTGCCCCCACACAGCCCATCGTGCCCAACAGCCTGAGATCAGCCAGGGGATCAGTCACCTAACGTGTCTGCAGTGTCAGGTCCTGCCTTGGGCCTCCTTGTCTGGGGTGAGATGCTGTGAGCCCGTCCGCAGCGCCGGTGGTGGCTGTGGGAGGGTCTGCCCTGACCAAGGGCACCGGGATTTTTTCATGCCATCCTTTGAGGCCACCACTTAGGGACTGATCACAGGGTTGATGGATGCCCTGGCCCTGCTCTGGAGCAACCTCCCGTCAGTTGGAGACCTACCCACGTTTACTTGCAGGTGTGGACGTCGTAGACACGTGTGCACTCCTGGCAGCTCACGTAGCAGCACCAGTGGAAGATGCAGTGACACTTCTCCTTCCGCTTCTCAGTCCTGGTGTTGTGGCCGCGGCCGCAGCACAGGAGGTCGCAGCCGTCGATCCCGTGGGATGTGACGTTGCAGGTTCTGTCCCTGGTCCCAAAGGAGCCCGTCTCTGGGTTGGGCTCACAGAAGTTGGGGGAGTTCTCATAGTAAACCAGATCCCGCTCCGTCGGCGGCTTGAAAAGCGCGTACTTGGCTCTCAGAGTTTCTACCCATCCCCGGGATTCCCGGTGCTTTTCCACCACCATCTCCGAGGCGCTGTCGTACTTGTCCTTCAGGTAGTCCCCGATCGCCCGGAAGTCTGGCTGGGCCCACCAGCAGGTCTTGACCTCACAGCTGCCTGAGAGGCCGTGGCACTTGCACTTCAGGTGCATGTGGTCCAGGATGGTCTGGGCAGGGAAAACAAGGTGGTCAGGAGCAGCTCAGGGTGCCCAAACCACCAGTCTCAGGTGCCCACCTTTGGTACCCATGTGTAAACATCTGACCAGAACTTGGTCTGGAAAGCGTGGGCTTGGCTGCTCTGTGGGGTCTTGAGCGTGTGGCAGAAACATCTCCAGATGGAGACGTCGTGCTAGGAAAGCATCATTAGGGGGGGAGGTTCAGGAAGTGTTTTTTTTTACCCAAAGAGTTGTCAGAACTGCCCAGGAAGGTGGTGGAGTCACCAACCCTGGAGGAATTCCAGGAACATACAGCTGTGGCACTTCAGGACATGTCTCAGTGGGCATGGGGATTTTTTCTGGGTTGATGGTTGGACTTGGTGATCTTAAAGGTCTTTTCCAACCATGATAATACTGTGACTCTAACCAGCTGTCAAACCCAATCCCATCCAACCCAATCCATTCTAATCCAATCTAATCTAATCTAATCTAACCTAATCTAATCAGATAAACTAAACTAAACTAAGCTAAAATAAATTAAGCTAAGCTAAGCTAATATCTAATCCCAATGTCTGACCCTTTCACTGGGGTCCTCCCTGTCGTGTGTGGTCAGTCAGAGCCCAGGAGAGCTGAGGGTCAGGATGTCTCTGGCACAACGTGTACATGGACCAATCCCCTTGTCCTGGCTTTGCTGACAACCTTTCACTTTATGCCTCCAGTCTGACAATTGGCACTAGAAAGGGAATGAAACTGGGAACCTAAGGTCAGGACAGTCTCTCTTCCCCAGAAACCTCCTCTGTGTGGAGAAAAACAGTAACTGATTTTTTTTTTTAAATTATTAGAGTTTGTTGTTTGTTTGTTTGTGAGATTATTTTTTTTTTTACATAAAGCTGCCAGTCATTAACACAAGCTAATGAGCTTCTACCCTTCCACTTCCGCCTGCTGTGGTATGGAAAGTGGTGTTTGCTTCAAGCTCTGGGTTTGCAGATGACCTAGAGCAGGTGGTGGCCCAGGGACCTGCTGAGAGCAGGAGCACAACAGAATGTTTCAGTTGGAAGGGACCAACAATAAGCAGCTAGTAACCAACAGGGCTACAGCAGGGAGTGCACAGGAAGGAGTAGGATGGGAGGAAAGTCCTCTTCACCATTGACCTGGGGTCTTGGGCAGTTGAGTTTGGTTTCTACAGGCTGCCCTGGAGATGTTTGCAAGGAAGCGAGGTGTGTTTTAGTTCTTCTTAACCCCCACCTGTCTGTTTGGAGACAGTGGAAATGCTATGCCCTGGAAGATAATCCCAGAAAGCTCCTGCCTGGACATGATCAGGGTCACCCTACACCCTGGGGAGCCATACTGGGCTATCCCAGGAGGCCCAGCTCTGGGCCCACCGAGCACTCACCGTCCTGCCGGCCTCGTTGTTGTGCCTGTTCATGGCTGAGCGCGCGTCCGGCCGGTTCTCCCGGGCATCTGCGAACTCCCGGGACACCAACACCCCGAAGTCGGCGTCCTCGCTGCATCCCCCCCATTTCCAGCCATCTCCTGGAGGTCCTTTGTGATGGGAGTCACAGCCACAGATGGTGGACGTGCCCTCGGCACAGGAGCGGGTCACGGCGAAGGCCACCCCGGCCGAGGCGATGGCATGGACGAAGGCAGACTCCCTGGTGGCTGGGGAGAAACAGCCCAGGGATTGTCAGTCAAGGCAAGACTTGTGTTCTCCTTCCCAACCTCCTCCTCCATCACCTACATCCCACTGAAAAGACAAAAGTATTTTATTCATTTTTCAACAAACTCTTTCTGAACCAGGTGCTGCCGGCGTCGCCTTCGGGAGCGGGTTGGGCGGGAGGGGCTGGGGGGGTCACCCCAGCTCCGCGTGTCACAAGGGCAGCGTTTGCCCCAAACATGATGGGAACAGGATTTGACCCAGCACAGACACCCACGTGTAACCAAAACCCCAGTGAGAGCTTGAGGGGCCTCAGAAGACTGGAGTAATACCTGGGCTGGAAAGCAGAGCAGAACTCCATGGCTGGAGGTGGGTAGGCCAAGGGGAGATGAAGAAGTTCATTCATCCACTGAAATGGGGAGAGGTTTCAGATGATATAGGACAGGCAGAACAAAGCCTAAGGGCTGGTGGATACTGTTTAATTAATCTAGGTGCTGCATCTCTGTCCATCACCTCTTCCACCTGTGACCATGGCAGGTCAATGGTTCAAGCTTTCCCCAGCCATGGTCATCCTGTGGAGCCCTGACCTGGACTTTGGACAGCAGGAGCCAAATAAAGATGTTTACATTGGCTGTATGTTATAGTCAGGTGAGAAAGACAAGGCCAAAGCAGGATGTGTGGGAACCACAGAATCACAGGGGTTGGAGGGACCTGAAAGATCACTCAGTCCAACCAGGGCAGGGTCACCCAGAGCACATCACACAGGAACGTGTCCAGGTGGGTTTGAATGTCTCCAGAGAAGGAGACTCCACAGCCTCTCTGGGCAGCCTGGCCCAGGGCTCTGTCACTCTCACAGCAAAGAAGTTCTTCCTGAGATTCACATGGAACCTCCTGGGCTCCAGTTTGCACCCACTGCCCCTTGTCCTGTCACTGGACATCACTGCACAAAGCCTGGCTCTGTCCTCCTGACACTGCCCTGAACAGATTTGTGCCCATGGATGAGGTGGCCCCTCAGTCTCCTCTTCTCCAAGCCCAACAGACCCAGCTCCCTCAGCCTTTCCTCAGCAGGGAGATGTTCCCCTCCCTCCAGCATCTCTGGGGCTCTGCCCTGGGCTCTTCCCAGCAGTTCCCTGTCCTTCTGGAACTGAGGGGCCCAGAACTGGACACAATACTCCAGATGAGGCCTCATCAAGGCAGAACAGAGGGGGAGGAAAACCTCTCTTGACCCACTAACCACCCCCTTTCTAATGCACCCCAGATGCCATTGGCCTTCTTGGCTACAAGGGCACATTGCTGTCTCATGCTCATCCTCCTGCCCACCAGGACCCCCAGGTCCCTTTCTCCTACCCTGCTCTCCAGCAGTTCAGCCCCCAACCTGTACTGGTACATGGGGTTGTTCTTCCCCAGATGCAAAACTCTACACTTGCCCTTGTTAAATTTCATCAAGTTTCTCCCCACCCAACTCTCCAGCCTGTCCAGGTCTCCCTGAATGGCAGCACAGCCTTCTGGTGTGTCAGCCAGACCTCCCAGTTTGGTGTCACCAGCAAACTTGCTGAGGGCACCCTCTGTTCCCTCACCCAGGTCCTTGATGAAAACACTGAACAGCCCCAGTCCCAGCACCGACCCCTGAGGGACCCCACTGGTCACAGGCCCCCAACTACATTGTCCCACTGACCACAAGTCTCTTCCTTTCAACCAGTTCATGATCCACACTAGAACTGGCTGCTCTGTGCCTGGAGCCTCCAAGCTCACCTTAAGTGCCTGGAGCCTCCAAGCTCACCTTAAGTGCCTGAAGCCAGGGAGCTACTGTTCTTCATCATGAACCAAAACCTCTCCAGCAGCCTTGCCCACTGCAGGACCTTCTGCCTGAGCACTGGAGGGTGGTGCACCCAAAGCAGCAGGTGGCATGGAGCCATCAAGACATACTTTCTTGGCCTTCTACTACAAAAGGACACTTCTGAGGTATTAGAAGCACCAGATAACTCTATTGTGAGGAGACCTTGAAAACCTAGACCTGGCTTTAGACACGCCAGAGGAGATAACTTTGTCCACTTAATGTGATGACATTTTTGTACTGTGAGGTCTAGGAGTTCAATGTTATGGTTCTGGGAGTCTTGCAGTTGTAAAATGGACAATACACTGTTAAACTGAAAAGGTGTCTCCTGCTTTTTATATTTTGGTATTTTAACTCTTCAGGAGGTCATAGTAGAACTTGTGATATGCTCTGAACTCAGCTGGTCTTTTTGTTGGTTCTCTGACTGGTGGCTCTTCCACTGTTTTGAAGGCAGGACAATGGCAACTTGGAATTTTTAACTCAGATTAAAGCCCAGTCAGTTGATATCCTTTGTTCCTGTGCTCGCATGGGCTTTCATCTTCAAGAATTTTGAATGGCTCCTGGATTAACTTCATGTGCTTGCAGAGACCAAAGCCTCCCTTCTGCTGTGCTCCAAGAGCTGTATTTGTTAAGTCTTTCCATAAATGTCCATGACACTCACCAGCCTGGATGCCCAGCTCTGCATCTGCTTCTGATTGCTCCAGAAGGGTGAGGATAAGGAAATGCTGCCTTCCAGCTGTGGCCTGGCTGGGGCTGAAGGAAAGTCTCAGGTTGTGCCAGGGGAGGCTGAGGTTGGACCTTGGGAACAGTTTCTCCCTGGCAAGGGTTGTCAGGGCCTGGCCCAGGCTGCCCAGGGCAGGGGGGGAGTCCCCATCCCTGGAGGGGTTTCCAAGCCCTGGAGATGGTGCTGAGGGACACGGGGCGGGGGTGGCCTGGGCAGGGCTGGGGGAAGGGATGGACTTATGACATTAAAGTTCTTTTCCAACCAGAATGATTCCATGATTGTACCACAGCTCAGGGCAGCTCAGAGCTCTCTCCTGACTTAGGACAGTCAGGTGAGTCCCCTGCGTGTTGACCTGCTCAGCAGAGTGACAGAAACTTTGGAGTCTGGGTTCTTGCAGCAATGATCTGGCTGCTCAGCTGCAGAGCTCGGCTCCAGAGGGTTTTCAGGCTTTCTTGGGTTTTGGTGGCTTAGGTTGGTTTTTGGTGTTTTTGGGTTTTTTTTAAATTTTATGTTATTTTTATTTTTAAATTTTTTTCCTAGCAGAGCAGACAGTGTTTCTCTATTTTTACTCATTTTGAAACCAACAGGAGTTTGGCCTTGGGCTTCAGTGAGGCTCTCCCAAGCACAGGCTGTCCCAAGCATGGTCTAAATGATATCTCAGTTGGCTTTCTCCTTGGGAACACCCTTTGGCTCAGAACCTGGTGGAACAATGCACAGTTGGTGTCAGTGCTGCACCCTGGGTCACAACACTGGAGCACTGCAACCCTGCGTGGCATCTGAGGGAGAGGGAGCCTGTAGGTCTCTAAATTCAGAGGAGATGTTGGGGCAAATCCAGCCCTGGAGGTGAAGAAGGGGTGGTCAGGGCCGTGTCTTGGGGAACTGTTGCAGGTGCCCTGGGTGCAGTGGGAGGTGTAGCTTGGCCAAATGACTAGGACAGTTGTCAATGGGTGTGGGACAAAGCCAGGATTTTCTGCTGGCTCATACCAACTATGACTTTGGAGACCATCATGTCCTCCCAGAGCAGGAGCCACGAACCATCTCAGCTGCCCCGCGCGTCCCTCACCTGCTCGTGCCTCATGCCCAGGGGGATAATCACTGCACCTTGTTCTTGGCCTGCAGAGCTTCTCTGCAGAGGTGGGGTGAAGCTCCCAAAAAACAGGCATCTCAAACTGAGCTGATTGCAGCCCATGCAGGTGATAGGAGGAGGCAGCTGGTGGGGACACTCCAGCTGGGAAATGCACATCTCCCCTTGGCTGCAGCACAAGGAACTGGCATCTGGGAGTCAAACATGAGCCTAAACCAGGGCTGCTGAGTCCTGCTGGGACCATGTTGTGGTTTTCACTTTCTTTTAACTCAAACTCTTCCCTGCTTACCCTCCTCACCTCTGATGTACCAGCAGCATTTCATCCTCTGCCTATTGAGGTTTCCTTAGATATCTTTCACCAACCACTTATTCTGGGCCCACTGGGGGCTCTGGGCCACCAGTTGAAGATGACTGCTCCAACTGGAGTGGTTCAGCCTCACAAAGGCTGTTTGGGTGGCCGATGATCTGAAGCAGCTCAGATTAGAGAAGCTGGTGAACCCTTCTGGCCCCAGAGCAGGACAGCTGAGGGGCAGAGGGGGGGACATGAGCTGCTCTCCTTGCTGACGTGCCTTTGCTTTCCATCCTGGGAGGGGGTCCAAGGTGGGATGGAGAGGGGCAGCAGCTTCCTGGAGCCTCCCTGGGTGCTGGGCTGGGAGCCGAGGCTGCGGGTGCTCTGGGGGGCTGCACCCCTCCAGCAGCTGCCCCAGCACCCCGGGCTGGCCCTGCTGCCACAGCTGGGAGGGTCGGGCTGTGGACACAAACCCTGCGCCTTGGAACCGTCCCTGGCTCTGGGCGAGGAGCCGGGAGAGTTTCCCAGAGATGAAATGTGGGAGCAACGTTCCCAGCACCGAGGGAGAGGCTGGCGAGGGAGGATTAGAGCCGCCTTGACAGTGCAGCCCTGTGCTGTCCCAGCCGGG